TCAGGCGCAGAGCTGCTTCCAGAGGGCGAGAGCCTCGTCCAGCTGCTCTTGGGTAATGTCGTTGAAGAGGCGCGCGACGCCATGGCTGGTGGGCAGCGGAATCTTTTGGCCCTGCGAGAACTTAATCCGCTCCTTGAGCGAGAAGGCAACCTGCGCGGAGTCCATCCTCTCATGGTAAACAGGTAGCTTGAGGCCACGCGCCGTCGCGATGATGGACTCGAGGTACGGCATGCTGATGTGGCCGCGCACGTGGGAGAGGACCGACGAGAAGACCATGTCGATCGCGACGGCCTCGCCATGGAAGAGCTTCTCGTCGTGCAGCACCGACATCTCGAGCTCCATCGAGAAGACGTGCCCAAAGTCGACGAGCCGCTCGAGGGAGTCCTCCCATAGGTTGGGCGCGAGCTCCTCAAGCATCGTCTGGATGGCGAGGTTGAGCACGCGAGCGGAGGCGACGGAGCCGCCGGCGTCGGCGTCCTGAAACTTGCCGTCGATCAGCTCCTCGCCATGGTTGGCGAGCAGCTCGTACAGCTCGCCGTCCTTGACCAACGCCATCTTGAGGATCTCGGCGGCACCGTTGGAGAGCTGCCGCTGGTCGAGGGAGCCGAGGAAAGAGCGGTCGAGCAGCGTGAGCGCCGGCGGCAGGTAGGCGCCGAGCTTATTCTTGTGGCCGACGAAGTTGACGCCTGTCTTCGCACCGATGCTCGCGTCAACATACCCCATCACCGTCGTCGGCACGCGGATGTACGGCGTGCGACGGCGGTAGATGGAGGCAGCGAAGCCGACGATGTCCATGCACACGCCTCCTCCGATGGCGATGACGGGGTCGAGGCGGCGGTCGATGCCGAGGTCGTGGATGGCCTCGGCGATCTTGAGCACCATGTCCATGTTCTTGTGTTCCTCGTTCGTCGGCAGCACTAGCAGCCGGTGCTCGACGTTGTGGTGCTCGAGGTAAGCCTTGATCTTGTCGCCGTAGATCGCGAACACGTTGTCATCGACGACGACGACGCGCTTGACGGCGCGCGAGAGAGCGCGGGCGAGCATCTCGACATCGCCGTCGAGGAAGCCGAACAGGAGGTCGGTGCTCGACGGATCGAGGATGTCGACGCTCTCGCGCACCTTGTAGCTGAAGGTGATCGGCGACTCGACCGTCCACTCGGTCGAGGCGCCGTGCTGCTGCTGCGAGAGCTGCGCGTTCGAAACAACGGTCGCGCCGGCCACGTCGTCACCGATGCGCCAGGCATCCTCGTCCGCTGGCTTGTAGAGTTGCTTCCGGGGCTGCTCGATCACAGGGGAGAAGGTCGGCTTCTGACGCTCCCGCAAAGCCGAACGCGGGGTGCGCGACAGGCCGACGCTGCGCTCCGCGACAGTTCGGTCCGCTACAGCCCGCGAGGGAGCCCCCACTGCGGACGCAGAGGGGGCGAAGGCAGAGCCCGCACCGCCACGGCAGGCAAGGCGGCAAGCACCCGCGGCCAGGATCAGGGCGAGAGCTTTGTTGAGCAGCCTGTGCTGGACCGGCATATTTCGGGACTAGGCGAAGGCAGCGCGCGCTGGCTACACGGTTGCGAACGATGCTGGCACTCTGATCCGCAGAAGTGCTGCCTTAAGCCAGAAAGGCTGATGACGTGACCTGCCTTCACATGGCTTGGCTGAAACAAACTTGAGCTTCGCAGTTGGTTTTGGATTCCACGTTAGCTCTAGCTCCTGCTATTCGCTTGATATGCAGCTCAGCCCGTCTTATCGAAAGCTTTGCCTACCTATGCTATGTTTGCTGGCATGGGTTATCTCGGACTGGCATAACCTCGGCTTGACTGTATCTGAGCTGTCCTACAATAGAGAAGGGGTGCGAAGCCAAAGGGTGAGGAGAAGAAGAAGGCGGCCAGGTTGCACAGGAGCGGAGAGGACGAGAACGGCACGGAGAGGAGCGGAAAGGACGGAACGGAAAAGGGGACAGGCGAAAGAGAAAATAAGAACGAACACTGAAGAAGAAATATAACAGAGTAGAACGAAGACGAAAGCTGACAGAGAGACGGGGAGATGGTTTTGACGGGCTAGGACGGCACCAACGACTCCGCGTATCCATGGGGGGAGAGCATGTCCGACCAAAAAAGCCAGCGTGGACCCAAACAGTGTGCTTCTACCAACACAATGCTGTGCATATAAATTTATGTACATGTATGTATGTATGTATGTATGTATGCATATACATATAAGCATAGATATATATATATATATGGACAGCCCCCCCCCAGCACCCATTCTTCGTTTTGTTTATTTTCACGTTGTCTTTCGCATCCCTTCCTCCGCTCCCCGAACTGGAGACACACAGGGAGAGAGAGAGAGAAAGAGAGAGAGTGGGAGACTCGAGGGAGCGGCGATCCCTGTGAAATCACAATGTCTGCGAAGCCTGGGGGCACCAAGCCCTGTTATTTCATTGGGAGTTCGGGGATTTCTGGGTCAAGAATCCCAGATACCTTGTGATTTCATTGGGATGTTTGGGATGCTTGGGATTTTCAGTCCCAAAGAAAAGAACAAACGACGACGGGGCTCCCCAGGACTGGAGGATTGAGAATCCCAAAAATCCCAAAAATCCAAATGAAATCACAGGGGTTCTGGGACTCTTGACCCAGAAATCCCAAAAATCCCAATGACATAACAGGGTTTGGTGCCCCCAGGCTTCGCAACACATTGTGATTTCACAGGGATCGCCGCTCCCTCGAGTCTCTCCCTCTCTCTCTCTCTCTCTCTCGCTTTCCCCCTCCGTCTCTGTCTCCCCCGTTCTCCTCCTCCTCCTCCTCCTCCTCCTCCTCCTCCTCCTCCTCCTCTGAAGCAGAAAGAGAGATAGAGAGAGAGTGTGAGGGATAGAGAGAGAGGGGGGGGGCAGACTCGAGGGAGCTGCTCCCTCGAGTCTCCCCCCCTCTCTCTCTCTCTCTCTCTCTCTATCTCTCTCTGTCTCACTCTCTCTCTCTCTCTCTCTCTCTCTCTATGTCTCTCTCTCTCTCTCTCTCTCTCTCTCTCCCTCACACTCTCTCTCTCTGCTTCAGAGAAGGAGGAGGAGGAGGAGGAGGAGGAGAAGGATGAGGAGGAGGAGGAGGAGAAGGGGGGGGGGGGGGGACAGAGACGGAGGGGGACAGCGAGAGAGAGAGAGAGAGAGACACAGGGGGGCAGCGAGAGAGAAGGAGAGACTCGAGGGAGCGGCGATCCCTACGAAATCACAATGTTTGCGATTGGTGATGCCATTGGGATGTTTGGGATTTTGGGGATTTTCAATCCTCCAGTCCTGGGGAGCTCCGTCGTCGTTTGTTTTGAATCTCTGGGACTGAAAATCCCAAAATCCTGAAAATCTTAATGAAATCACATGGGTTCTGGGATTCTTGACCCAGAAATCCCAAAAATCCCAATGACATAACAGGGTTTGGTGCCCCCAGGCTTCGCAAACATTGTGATTTCACCAGGATCGCTGCTCCCTCGAGTCTCCCCCTCTCTCTCTCTCTCTCTCTCCCTCACACTCTCTCTCTATCTCTCTCTCTCTCTCTCTCTCTGCTTCAGAGGAGGAGGAGGAGGAGGAGGAGGAGGAGGAGGGGGGAGACAGAGACGGAGGGGGACAGCGAGAGAGAGAGAGAGAGAGAGCGAGAGGGAGAGACTCGAGGGAGCGGAGATCCTTGTGAAATCACAATGTTTGCGAAGCCTGGGGGCACCAAACCCTGTTATTTCATTTGGATGTTTTTGGATGTCTGGGTCAAGATTCCCAGAACCCCTTGTGATGTCATTGGGATTTTCTGGATGTTTTGGATTTTCAATCCTCCAGTCCTGGGGAGCCCCGTCGTCGTTTGTTTTTTCCAATCATCATGTGGTGTTGGGTCCTCGTTTTGAAGAGAGCGCCCCGCGTCCCACCTCCTCTCCTCCTCCTCCCCCTCCTCGCCCTCCTCCCTCCTCCCCCTCCTTGCCTCTGCTCTCGGCACACCCCTCACACGTTTCGTAGCCCCATAGGGAGCTCCACCGAAGGTCCCAGTGGCACAGCCCGCATGCGGTTCCCCCACCCAGGGCAGCGTTTCGTAGCCCCATAGGGAGCTCCACCGAAGGTCCCAGTGGCACAGCCCGCATGCGGTTCCCCCACCCAGGGCAGCGTTTCGTAGCCCCATAGGGAGCTCCACCGAAGGTCCCAGTGGCACAGCATGCGGTTCACAGCATGCGTATTTTGCCCCCACCCAGGGCAGCGTTTCGTAGCCCCATAGGGAGCTCCACCGAAGGTCCCAGTGGCACAGCCCGCATGCGGTTCCCCCACCCAGGGCAGCGTTTCGTAGCCCCATAGGGAGCTCCACCGAAGGTCCCAGTGGCACAGCCCGCATGCGGTTCCCCCACCCAGGGCAGCGCTTCGTGGCCCCATAGGGAGCTCCACCGAAGGTCCCAGTGGCACAGCCCGCATGCGGTTCCCCTACCCAGGGCAGCGCTTCGTGGCCCCATAGGGAGCTCCACCGAAGGTCCCAGTGGCACAGCCCGCATGCGGTTCCCCCGCCCAGGGCAGCGTTTCGTACCCCCATAGGGAGCTCCACCGAAGGTTCCAGTGGCACAGCCCGCATGCGGTTCCCCCTGGCCCCATAGGGAGCTCCACCGAAGGTCCCAGTGGCACAGCCCGCATGCGGTTCCCCCACCCAGGGCAGCGTTTCGTAGCCCCATAGGGAGCTCCACCGAAGGTCCCAGTGGCACAGCCCGCATGCGGTTCCCTCACCCAGGGCTGCGCTTCGTGGCCCCATAGGGAGCTCCACCGAAGGCCCCAGTGGCGCAGTTCGCATGCGTTCCCCCCCACCCAGGGCAGCGCTTCGTGGCCCCATAGGGAGCTCCACCGAAGGTCCCAGTGGCGCAGTTCGCATGCGTCCCCCCCACCCAGTACAGCGTTTCGTGGCCCCATACGGGGCTCCCCCGAATGCGATACCCACAACTGTATATGGTTGGGTCTTTCGCCAGGCTAATTTCTCTGGGACTGAAAATCCCAAAAATCC